TGATGTAATATGTAAGCCAGTCTTCGGACAGCCCACCCGTTTGAACTAATAAAGTGCCAGGGGCCTAAGTGGTCACCCCAATAATAAAAATATATATATATATATATATTTAATAAAAAATAAAATATAAGAAATAAAGTATGTAGCTAGTGTTTAAAGTATTTCAAAGTTAAAAAAATTTAATTCATAAAAAGTTATAATATAAAAGCTTTATATGTATTTATAAGTACCATAAAATTAATTATGTATATAAAAAAAAAAAACCTGCTAACAGGAAAAAAAAAAATTATAATATTAAAATTTAGAATAGTAAGTCTTCTGTAAACCAAGATTTTAAACACAAAATAGCTCGAACAGTTTCATTATCAAGAGAGTTTCGTGATTTAGTAACTGTTAATCCGGCTAAACTAAATAGTTGTTCACATGGAACACTAGTTGATATAATAGCTAAATTATCTTTTGCTATAGTAGCTAAGTTTGGAAAAGCTCTTTGATTAGCTTTCCACCAATCACAAACAGAAGTTTCTTCAGGTGCTGCAGTTATTTTCCAATATCGAGTAAGTTCATCTAAATCAGAAGTTGTAGTTGACATAGTTGCTTTATTATATTCTTGTATAAATTGGATACGCTTTGAAATATATGGAGACTGAACTATAGATTCAGAATTTACTAGTAGACTTGCACAAATTGAGGCCAAAATTTCATCTGTTGAATCTTCTGAATAAACAATTTGTTTAAAATGCGGATCAAAAAAAGCAGCAATCCTACTAGCTTCTTGCATAATTGGTCAGTATTCATTTAATTTTTCTCTAATTTTAGATACTACTAACTTTATATCTTGATGATTACTATGAAAGGTATTATTAAGGTGATTGAATAAACCAGAAATAATAAGACGTAAGTCAGCAATTGTTGGATAGTTAGACTTTGAGAGAATTTCTGTTGCAATTTTAAATAGTTTTAGACAATTACGAAGTTCCTAAAAAATAATTATATATTATATATTAATATTCATTATTTAAAATTATAAAAAATCTATTTTTATTCGAGTTAAAGTTACCCAAAATATTATTAATATTAATAATTTAATTATATAAATAATATTATATATAATTTATTAGGTGCTTTAATTTAAATAAATGTAGAAATATTATTATAATACTTACTAAAAGAATATTCTATTCATTTTCAGAAAGTTGTAAACTATGTAATGTTGAATGTCGTATAACAAGAGAATCTAAATCCATATGCAAAACTAATGCATGGTCTATCATCAAAAAAGATGAGTTCCATCTAGTTGAGCAATCAATAATTGGTCGTAAAAAAGGATGTTCAAAGGAAGCTGATATACGTTTTAAATCTTCAATTAAAAGTGCAGATTTACGAATTTTTTTAATAAAATGATGAAGCTTATTTAAATATCTATTTGCTAATTTTAAGCCTTTTTTAACTGCAATATTCATAATATGTGCAGCGCAGCGAATATGTTGAAATAAAGTATTAGAAAAATTATTTGCAAGAGTATTTTTAATTATACTACTAGCTAAAACAATATTGCTAGCATTATCAGAAGTTAATACTAAAATTTTGTTTTCTAATTGAAACTCATTTAAAAGAGATAAAATAATATCCACAATTATTTGACCAGTATAAGGAGAAGGAATTTTAAAAATATCTAAAAGAAGATGACATATATTCTAATTTTCATCAATAAAATGACAAGTTATCGCTATAAAACTTGTTATAGTACAAGAACTCCAAATATCAGTTGTCAAAGTAACTTTACAAGAAAGATTGGAAATAAAATTTTTAATTAAAGTTCTTTGTGATTCGAATTTAAAAATAATTAAAGTTTGAAGTACTTGTCGACAAAGAAGCTGTAAATGTGGATCAAGATCAAAAATAAATTGCTTAAAATGTAAGTTTTCAACAACCCGAAATGCTTGTAAGTTAACAACAATCCATTTTAATAAAAGAGCTACTTTTTTTTTCTTGAATATTATATGGATATGGATCAGAACATCTATAATGATCTAAAGCTGTTTGGCGAAAATTATCATATAGCTCTATATGTTGTTTTTGAATATGTCGACCAAGTATACTTGTTGCTGTTTTATCACTAAATATACATTTACAATGATTGCATTTACATTGTTTTGTTGCAAGTACTATAAAAAATTTCAATACATATGAGGATTGTTGCTTATTTGAATGAGCTATATGATTATTTTTAGTAGAATTATCATCATTATGTGATGTAGATGAATTGTTATACATTTCAGTATCAAAACTTTCAGTTTCTTGATTTTGTTTGAATTCAGTTAAATTATCTGGGCTTTCAAAATCTTGTTCAAATTCAGTCAAATTATCTGGGCTTTCAATATCTTGAGTAACTTCAAACTCATCGAAGTTATCAGATTCTTGTTCATTACTACTACTTGAACTATCAAGTTCATCGGACAAAGCTTCATCATTATTTGAATTTGCTTTAGAACGAGTTACAATAGGATCACGATTCATAGTTAAAGTAAAAGGTATATAGATAATAAATAATGAATTTTTTTTAATCTTATTTATATAGAAATTCACAAATTTTACTTTTGATAGTAACAAGTAATTTATTGATATCAAATTTAC